AACTCTAATGGTGTGTTCAATTTCAATTAGATTTCTTGGAGGCTACTCAACCATAAACTCTAGTTCGTGCTTATATAAAAGGTACTATATTTCCTTGAAATGCATCTCGAAAATTTCATAAAGAGATTGAAATCTCGAATATTCCACAAATTCATGAATATTCATAGAGATCAAAATCAATCATCCTAATTCGAGAAATACGCCACAAACGGCCCTCAAATCATGAATAAATATCTTATGAAAGAAGAGTCAAGGGAGAAACGGAATTATACCCGCACTATTTATCAATAAAATCACGTTTCTTCATATTTTATTTGTGATTGTAATTTATTTTCTGTCATTTTAAAATTTGTTATAAACAAACATATATACATAGTTCTAATCAGTGTCTTTTAAAACAACGACTTTTATCAATTATAGAAAAGAAACATGGTTCATAGAAGTTGAAAATAGATAAAGATAATTACGAAAATCTGAAAGTGGGAATAAGATATGGAGAAAGAGATGTAACTATCAAAGAATCGCATTTTGCAGATAAATCAATTTAACAAAAGTCATTTTCTGTTGCCTTTTTGTGTGTTGTCCATACCCTAAATTTTCCAGAAAAAAAAACCCACCTAGCTAAGAAAAAGAAAAATAAATATCTTAATATCTTATCCAGACAAACTTTATGAAAACCAATCAAAAGACACAAAAAATAACTAGTATCTCATACATATATCTTATTCTGATTTCTAAGGATGTACATGGACGGACAATATCTGGAGATTTAGAGAAAAATACCAACACACATAGTTCCAGAAGCAGGAGTTGGATTAATTATAGTTACACGTACTTTGTTTGTCATCTTATGCTTTTCCTATTTAATGTGAAAAAAATATGACCTTAAGTCAATTTATAACTAAAATCATTTAGTATTTTACTCCTTGATTTTGACACATATATAAAAAAAAAAAATTTAATATCATCAATCATAAAGGGTATTCGACTTGATAATCTCTATCTCTTCCTTAAATGGATAATTACTTTCTCTATCACAAAATATTTATTCGATTTTTAATTTATATGGTTCTTAAGAAAATATTAGTTAAGAGGGTATTTAGCTATTTTATATTTATTTATCTCTTAAGATATAATCTCCTTCATTGAGTATTTACTTATGTGTGATAATTGAGATCGATGTTTATAGTCCTCAGGAACAATTTTACAAAAAGGATAAAATTTAAAAATTTATCTTGATATTTTAAAATGACTAGTATTTTTAATATGATGAGTATTTTGAGACATAAAGGGGTAGATAAGTTAAATGTTGAAGCAAATAGTTGAAGTTATTTTTGTTTCTCTAAAATGAGTGACTAGAGGACATGAAAGAACACCAAATTATAATTATTGGGGAAGCAAGAGCTATGGACCTAGTTAAACACCTAGGTCCAACAATTAAGGTGGCGTTTTAATTAGATAAATTTGAGGGGTTTAAGGTTAGAGATTCAAGATTGTGCGTTACGTTGGTTGAATGATTAAAGAGGAAATGATGATTACACATGGCTCCTCATAATAATAAAGCACATATATACTTTTTCAATCACAAGATGAAGACAACGCCACGTCACACCCAACAGTTAGAAAAATATTTTTAGTATCAATATTCATGTGAAAAGTAAAGGATTAATTAAAGGAAAGCAATTTTTTTCCAATTAAAGTGCTCTAATAAAATGATGCATGCAGCAGACATAAGTGTGCATAGAAAACGATATAACCAAAAATAATAATACTCATTATTTTGTTATGTCACTCTTGATGAGCATTAACATTTTTATTTTTGTGAAATGGGACCTACCAGAAATAATTGATTGTGAAATTGAGCATAGAGAACTGTGGTAGGTAAAATAAAGGTTATATAATTAAAGGTTAGAACTATTTTTCAAACTTTTTAGCTTGTGTGATGAAACCTATCTCATTCTTTGTTACCTCTTTAGCTTACAAGATAAGTAAAATCGGTTTAAATTTCTTCATTATTAGTCAATGAAAAGCTACTAATTAATCTCCCTTTAACATTCTGCTGGATGTTAATTGATTTAAGGAAATGAGAATAGGGAAAATCCAACTCATAGTTAAGGTGTGAAAAAAACTCTCATCGATTTTATTAATTAGACTGTAAGATTTGGTGGCTTATTACTTTGAGAAAAGACGATAGCACGATTTTCCTTTTAAATAAGCTGATCTTTCATTTTTGTCTTTAGAAATCAAACTTATACCTAACAAGACATAAGCTCTTTAAGGTCATGGGATATTAACTTAGGAGATATTACGATATGAAAATATAAACTTAAAAACCGACAAAAGTGCAAGCGCGGGCCGAGCCGATTGCGTTTTGCATGTTGGACTGCTCTTTCTGGGCCCAATTTATAAGAAGAGAGTTGTGGTCAGCACTCAGCCCTTTTGTCTAATAAGAGTGGCCAAGGCCTACTGACTTGCACTTTTCAAATTTCGACATTGCCCATTACTATTAAACAGATTTTCTTTTAGGAAAAGTAATAAAAAGAACACTTTGGGATCCATTTGATTCCTCAAAGTTAATCCTTTTCTATGTCATGGACAGGTAGGGATCTACCCCCCTTGAAAATAAGCTTTAAATATAATTGTTTCACCTGACTTGAGTCCGTATCATACTCTATACATTTATTTTTTTGTACAAAGAAAAGTAGTACCAAAGATCGTTCATAAGCTACACTACTTAAATCTATGGAGAGCAAAAACTCCATTTCGTTGATTTGTATTCTCCCACACAAGCTAATATACTTAACATGTCAATAAGCATATTCTGTTTTCCCCTTTTCAAGACTAATAAAATAGGCATGTTACCTTCAATATATCTCTGAAATTTTGGAACTTGAAAACAAAAAAACATATATAGACCTTAAATGACTTTACTCATCAATGGGGTTTACTATTAAAAAGCTCAATATCCTTGATAAATCTATTGATAAGTTTATAGCAATCAGTATGAGAAAATTGTGAAAACCATGAGTTAATGTCTTATAAGTTACAAGTCATTTATTTTGTGTAATATTACTCTTCAGTGATTGCATAATGCGATATGGTAATCTCATCTTCGATCCTGGTAATGTGCTTAGACTTGCTTTCTCTTCTTTTCTGTAGATACTCTTTATACAAGAATGGCCTGTATTTTGGTGGTTCTGCAATCTCTTTTGTGAACTGGGGCAGTGGTTGTATCCACTTATCCCCTGATAAATTGTGGAAGAACGCAAATGAATTCCTTGATCTTCCATTTGGTCTCACCACTCTATGGCGTGGACTCTTGAATTTGTCCTTCGTAAGGACCTGTTCACGTTGTAACTATCAGAATTCATTCCATTACAAATAATTACATCCTAGCTAAAAGTCGCTATAGGAAGTCATATCCTGAATCCGCCTCTATAGCTAACTATTGATTTTTACTAATGAGATAGCTAGCTGCTACTCAATTTGTTTTTGAGAAGTACCTTTTTCATTCACAAATACATTTATTTACCTGAAGAGCATCATCAATGTTGACAACAAGGGTATCTGGTTGTGGGGCTATTAGGATCCATTCGCCGTCCTTTTGAACCTCCAGGCCTGCAACTTCATTTTGTAAAACAATTGTGAAGCAACTTAAATCTTTATGTGGATTTGATCCTATCCTTTCTTTCTCTGTTGCCGGCAAGTAAAATAAAGCAATGAGGAAATCCCAGCTTCTGTCATTGTTGAATTCTTCAAGAACACAGGGAGGAAGCCCCAGACACTCGCTTAGGATTCTTTCAACAACCATTCCTATCTTCATGAATTGGGAGAATAACTCTTCCATCACCTCTCTGAAATGTTAAAGAAATTCATCATATAAATAGATGATATTGTTCCACTTGCACAAGATATGAAACACCAAAGTTTATCCCCCCTCTGCAAATCAAGTGAAGGACTAAATGCATCATGCTGATATATGTTTATTAAGATCAAATATATTGTATTCTATTTGGGTCTGGAGAGGGTGGGGTGTACCTCTACCTAATGTGAAATTGTATAGCTAAACAATCTGATTAAATGATAAAAAAGAACCCAATTTATTATACACACACATTTTAAACTTTTTCTTTATGTACATATACATAATTCGAGTTGAAAGCAATTGAACCCTGTATCCGTTCTAGATTCACTTATGAAGTATTAGAAGACAAAAGGCTAAAAATTATGCTCATACCGAAATTGAGGAGGATTGTCTGGGAAGATATTGAAGTCAGAACCAGGTGGAAGCATAATAAGGAATTCACTAAACTCATAAGAAGGATTAGGCTTCTTGTTATAGCCTGCAGGAACAGGTACATTAGGCAGTGGAGAACATTTGAGTTTGGCTTCAGTTGGAGATTCAAAGAAAGACTTTGACACCTTCAGAGCTTGACTAATGAGATCAAGGGGTACACCATGATTCACAATTTGGAAAAAACCATACTCACAACAGGCTTTACTAATTGTATCAACAATTTTGCTCTTTTTATCTTCATATCCTTCTCTGAAAAATAGACTCAAATCTACAGTTGGTACTTTTGCCATTTGTTCAATGTCAACTTGGTTTGGTTGCTCGATGATCAAACGATAAAATTAATCTGAAATTTTGTTTCAAAATTATTATACTTATCCCATGTGCCAAGCGTCAAACAAGAAAGAATAATATTCTAGTCACTACAAACTGTGTTGGTATCATCATCTTCAAAATAAAGTATTGTGTTTCCACCTACTACGAATTTGGAATCAAGTGGATATTTAAATGAAATATATGACGTTGTTAGTACTTAGTACCAGGTCAAATATGTGAGCTGACAATTTACTGGTATGTTATTTCCTTAAAGAGATGAGTAAAACCTTTTTGCATAGGAAGAATCATGAAGTTAAAAAATACGTACATAAAAATTAAAAAGATTATAAGTAAAGGTTAAAGAATGAATAAGAAAAAGTTCATTGTAGCCAAAAAGAAGTCACCACTATATATAATTCAATTTTTCTGCAATATTAAGCTTCTTTACAGATAGCAACTATGATGATTGAAACGTCGAAGAGAAATCAAATCAAACACGAGGTCCATTAACAGTTCATTTATCTTCTTCATCTTCGTCGTCTTCCTCTTCCTCCTCATCACCTTCATCTTCAGAGTCTTCGCCCTGCATATAGGAATTCAAATCAAATCAACCAAACCATACAAAGACAGAAAAGAACATCTTTCATTTTACCACCATATACACAATTTATCTATTATAATTTAAAAAATCAAGAAGAACTATACATTCATCTTCCAAAAAGAATGATGAGCATGCAGTAAAAGACCCCATTAACAAGTTTTGAACCACAAAATATCTCTGCATTGTATCCAGAATATAAGTCATATGCCAAATTTAAGTTGAGGAACAGCAGAGGAAAGGTAAGAAGAGATAGGGGCACTTGCACATAATTGCATTTCTTCCTCCTCATGTTGTTTGGTAGAATTGGAAATCAGAGTTTAAAACAAAAGCAGGCTTTCCTCTTTCCTGCGGCGAAAATCCCAACTCCTCATGGAGTCATACATGTTCTACTTTTACCTCTTTTCGGCTAGGAAAGTGAAACAACAGTAAGAAACCCGCTCCCTCTTCTTATCCTAAACAAAAAAGAGTGAGGTTCCACCAAAAGGACCTCTCTCCCTAGGCCCAAGGGGAAGAAAGGAAGAAAATAAACACAATTTCTTTGTCAGAATAGATACTTTATTGTTCTCAAAAACAAAGACAACTTTGATCTTCTGAAAGGAAGAGTACCCAACCAATACCCTCCAGGAAGGTAAAACCAAAAGCTATGGTTTCATCCTCTTCCTTATATTATGCATTTGTTTTTATACTAAGTTAACGTATTTTCATTGAATAGCACCAAGAAGGTGCTGAAACAAATGTATTTACAAGTATAGAAGAATCCCCTAACTCCCCTTTATGATTCTTTTAAAGATGGCATCTTTTTGAGGCTTCGATCTAAGACTTCCTTCACCATACCTTCCCTTTTCTCCCTCACATGTCTCGACTCCGCCTTCTATTACACCCAACTTGATATCCACCCAACTTCTCATCAAAATGCAAGGTAGACGAAGTTTTAATTTAACCCACAATACAGCAGCAACAAGTTTTCATGAAAACTAAGATGGAAATGTAGGATAAACACCTAAAACACCGAAGCCCCACAAACACAAAGAACTATATTTCTTGCAGAAAGTTATAATGGAGGTTTGTGGTTTTATTGGATTTCATACAGCATTGCAGCTATTAAGATTGTAGTAAAATCCTATCAGTCACTTGGAAGGACATTTCAAACTGTTAACCAATTATACTACCAAATGCTGACAGTGTGTGCTTCTTTTAGACATACATAAAAGAAGGAAAGTCTTGAAGAAACTACCTACAAACTTGAGTAGACTCTTTCTACTTGACGTGAGAGAGAACGGGGGGATAGAAACAAAATTATCCCTAGTATTTAAGAAAACCATTAAACTACGTAACCACTATGTAATTCTGAAGTCAACAAAAGCAACTCAACTCACAAGGACAACAAATCGACTTAACAATCAACCAAGGCCACAACCAAGCAGGGTCAAACACTTGAATTCTACAACTAAAGTTACTAAGGCTGCACTTAGAAACTAGAAACTTTGTCCAATAGTGCCCTGTCACCCTCATACCACGTGGGCCTAGGAAAGAAATAAATGTAATCCCAAAAGGAGGGTATATTAGAGCCACAGATGACTAAGTATGACTTAATATATAGCAAATGATGTGCACAAGTTATGACAACAATTAGCAAGAATGTTGCTATACCTCATCACCACCTTCATCACCCTCAAAATCTTCTTCATCAGGCTCCTGTGGTAAAGTAAATCTCAGATAATGTTATCAAGTTAAAAGTGCATGACTAAATCTTGATTAACAGATCAAGGAAACAAGAGATGCAGTATGGAACTAACATTGGTAAAATAAGTTAAAGGGTTTGGCCACAAGTCATCCTTGATTATTTCAGCAACCTGCAAACAAGAAAACAAAGGTACAAGTTTGAAAATGCAAAAAACTTTATGCACCAAAACACCTAAATACGCTCTCCTTCTCCCATCCAAAAAAAAGGACACCACAAATCTTAATTATTTGCCGAAGATTTAGATTTTACCTCATCCTGAATCTCCAGAACCTCATTTTCATCATCATCGCTGTCATCTTTTTTATTGACTTCACTGAACCAGGTGAAGAAGCTGTATGGAAAAACAAGCGAAAAGCAACTGAGATAGGATGACCATGAATATGACACTTAGCAGTACAGCTAAAATTAAGAGTGCAGAAGACAGCATTGAGCATGTGTTCAGTCTCTGTACCAACTTAGTACCAACTACCAAGTAACTGTGACTTTATGAGGATAGTCACAGAATGTTGTAGACAAAAGACTTAGTGAGTGCACAGAGTTGTAAAATAGTTTCAACAAGGCTGCATTAACTGCCATATTTTACACTATTACTATTTGGGAACTCAAATAGGTTTTCTCGAGAAAGAATTTTTCCAAAACATTTTATTAATATTTTTAGTTATAAAAAGTTATTATTTGCCATACTCTTATATAGTTCCTGAATATGTAACTTCTATTTCAAAAATTGGATGTCAGAAATCAATGCAAAATTAGTGATTTGAATCATTATATTTAATCCTGTCATTTCTTTTTGTGATGGATGGACCAATATATTTCGCACTTGACTCTATAGTGAAGTAAACACATTGCAGCAGGCAATTAGGTTAGTTTGTTATTTCAAAGATCAGAATGAGCCAGTTATAGGTGAGATTTAGTAAGAAAATGTGCTGTACAAGAATCTGTATTCCTAAGGTAGAGATCATAACCTGGTTTAATGTGTGAGCAAACCTACTTTTCTCTTGAACGAACCAAGGTTCCAACAATATATCAGTTGCAAGTTGACAGACTTGTTATAAACAATTAATAGCCTTGCAAAAAACTAAAAGTCCTAAGAAATGCTAGATCTGTAAGCTGACCTCTCTTCAGCATGGGATCGCTTGTTTCCTTTCTTCTCCTGAGCAACACCATTAGGAATGCCCTTCAAAAGTCAAACAACATATATAGTGAGAGGAAAGGGATAACATAAAGATGTGTAACAATTGTCAAGTAGCAAATTGGCGACTCACCTTGCCTTCTTTCCATTTTATTGGTGTAGCTGTGATTTTTGTAGGTCCATCTTCAAGAAAGGTATAGGTCTTTGAGAGCTTTGAATTTTCAAAAAAAGGATTGGACTTAAAGTTCTGTGAGGAAGACGAGGAGTCATTAGCATTCTACATCCCAGCAAACACAAGAGTCTAATGTACTAAATTACTTTCAGCATCAAGAGAGTAGTGAACTCACAAACGCGATTGAATAACCAAATTTCACATCTTTCGAGTCTTCCACTTCAATAGAACTTAAGAATTTGAAAATCTAGCAAGAAAGAAGGCAGTAACATTATGAGATTCATATCAGAACGAAAGCAGCCATTCAAACTGTACTTAGACAGTGTATCAGATGAGAGACTCTTTGCTAATTGAGCGGGTGTCAATATTAGAGAAACAGTAATGGTTTGCTTCAGAAGTTTATATGTAACAAATTAGAATCAAACCTTTTGGTCCTCTTCAGTTAGAAGGTCACCAAGAACAGGATGACTCAAAAACTGCAAGCAAATGAGATCAATTATAGTGTTAAAATAATCTTCAGAAATCCAGAATATAGAGAAAAAAAAAGGATCAGGATGGGGCCACTAACAGCAGTCAACCAGAAGTCAGAAATAGAGTTAATGATATCATTTCGCTTATCATAAACAGGCTTGCGGATCTTGTTGTACTTCTGTTCTATTTCCAACACTTCCTCGCTTGCTTTCTCATTGATCTGCCAGCAAAATTGATATATCGGTTAACATGTAAAACCAAGGGCATCCCATCTTATCTTACAGTTAAACAGCAGAAGAAAAACTTCTAGCAAATTGATCTAAGTTAGTTATTGTGAACCAGTAAAAGTTGATAGTTTGCTGAGTGATTAAGCTTTCAGTGTGTAGCTGAAAAAGCTAGAACACTGCAACACTACCAGTGATATCCAGTTTATGTCCACACTAAAACAAGGAACCATATTCTCATGTCAGATACATGGACAAACCAGACAACTTTTTGAGCAATGTTAGAAAACATACAAGGATGTTCGATGCATTAAAAGCTTACTCAATCTTAACAATGGAAAAGGGGAAATTAAGGAGTGCCAAGCTGCAACAAATTATATTAAAGACATAGACGATCATCGGAACAACTATGTCCCAAAAATAACACAAAATTGGCAGTTATTCTGTTTTCATCATAGAATGATTAGTCGATCATAGAGTCAGCTACACCGACCTTCTATATCCATCAGCAATATTCTGGCACATATTATAAACAGCATATTTCAAGAACCCCAAACCCAGCCACCCAAAGAAGAAAAATAAAGAGACTTTCCACTCGGACAACCTGCTCTGCATTGAGATTAACTGTTCAACGCACTACCTAGCTAGAACAGGGACGGATGCAGGGGTAGAGTGGAGCTTCCGGGAACCCAGTGACTTTTGGGTAGACACTAACTATATAAGAAATATTTGACCACTAGCAAATCAAGTGCTTGGTTCAGCGGCAGAAATTGAAGCTGCTAATCTAAGCCGCCCCCTAATTTGCTCGAATCCTCTTGGATACCTTATACTACTAATTTATTTGAGATCACTGGGAACCCATAAACTTCAAATCCTGGATCTGCCTCTGAGCAATAATTAACTAAACTTAGCTCCTACCTAATTCTATACAATAAAAATTGAATCTTTACTAGTTTTAGATAAATCCTTGTCAAAAAAATAAAAATTACCAAGTATTGGAATGAAAAGGACTCAAATTAGGTAAATATTTCCAGGATTTATTGTTTGACACTAAGGACGATAGAATTTACCTTGTCAAGGTCATCTTGTATTTCTTGCAATTTTTCAATGGAAAAAATGAGCTTTTCATCAATGTAGTTTTCCTCTTCCACTTTCTGCTTCTTCCCTTTGTCAACCACCATTATTTTTTCCCTTTTGCCAAACACACAGCAGCTGAGGAACAGAAGCTGCTTAACTGCTTTTTCTTGATTTTGCTTAAACCCTAAACGGCAATAACCTGTCTCTTTGAGACACAATATATTAAGGGTTTTAGGGTTTTTCACACCCAATAAGTGAATGACACTTAAGCACTTTTGCTTTTTGTCATAAGCTGTGACTTTGACACGTCTACTGTGTGACAATATATAAGTGGAATTATTATTATTATTACTACAGTTAAAAATTAGTACTACTGCTGCTGACTTGACTCTAATATTAAAAAAGTAAATTTTTCTTTTTCTTTTTCAGTCGAAATATAATAAATAGGTTAGTATGATATAATAAATCTCAAATTTAATGTGAGAAATTCCTTGCTTCTTTGTGCATTTGCTGTTTTTTGTGCTTAAACTAATAATAAGAAAAAGTTGAAGGGAATATCAGCTTTAAATGTGAACCACTTTTATAACGTGAATCATTTTTATATATCAATTCTAAACGATAAAGTTGAGGAGTATATCAATCTTTTTCCGTTGATTAAAATAGAAACAACCAAAATTCATTTCACTTGGCAGAATTTGGCCCAACAATCTTTTCTCTTTGGGCTTGACTGGCTAAGGAATTTAAGGCCCAAAGGCTTAGGTCCCTTTTGATGATGTTTTGAAGAAGGATAGTATTGAAAGAGGATAAAATAAAATTAAAATAAAATCTTATCTTATCTTTTTTGATAAGGATGCTTACAATTAATTATTGACGGGGTTAAACTATAGCATAGTAGCATTTAATTTTCTCAAAAGATAGTTGAATATTCAACATGTCATAATTTTAACCATTTTATATATGGTCACGGCACATATCACTAATTCTTGGTTTAATTTTGTATATATGCACTCTCTTGTTATATCAAGTTACTTATTTACTTAGACTACCATTGTAGGTAATTTTAACCTAATAATCTTTTTTTTTAAAAAGAAACATGTGCTACAGTTTGTTAAACTTTATATCTATTTATTTAATTAAAATAAAAAGTGAAATAGTGAACGACAAAGAGATACATTTAAAGCATACGTTATCGAAATCGATTCGTATGTCAGTCATCCTCAAACCTTAACTACGACATTGATATCCAACTTCTAATGGTCCATTTTGTGCAAAACATTCCCATAGTAGGCCTACAAATTCATTAATGCTACAGTAGAGCTGTTATATGGCCCAAAATGTGATGGCTATCTAAACCGCCCAATATTTTAAGAGTTGGGTATAAGATAATTTCATATTAGGCTAATTTTAGCTCACCCTAACATAATTCATTTTGGAAGTGATCATCAGTTTAGCTCATTATTAGAACAATTATGGTATATTACTATATTTTTAAGATTTACTTTAATTTGAATTTATTGTTGAGATTTACTTTGATTCTTTTAATGGGTCGGGATTTGGGTCCTATTACTTTGGTCCCAAGTCGAGGTCAGGTCCCAAATCCAGGTTGAGGTTTGGGTCTCGATTTTGGGTCAAAGTCGGGGGTTGGGGTCGGGTCTCGAGTTCTGAGTCAAAGTGGAGTCTTGAATACCGAGTTAGGATAAGATCTCTGGTTGGGGTTGGGTTTAGGATCAAGGTCGAGTCTTGAGTTCTGGGTCGGGGTTGGGTCTCTAGTACTGAGTCAAAGTCGAGTCTAGAGTCTCAGATCAAGGTCGTGTCTTGAGTCTTGAGTTAGGCTCATGTCTCGAACTTTGTGTCAAAGTCAAGACTTAAGGCCTGGGTTAGGGTTGGATTTTGAGTCTCGGGTCATGGTAGGGTCATAAGACTAGTGTCTCGAGTGTCGGGTCGAGGTCGAGGGTTAAGGCTCGTGTCTTGGGCTTCGAGTAAGGATCAGATCAAGGTCAAGTCTTAGGTCATGGATCGAGCAAGGGTTGAGGTTGTGAGTCAGACCTAAAGGGTGGACCTTAGTAAGAGGTGGGGTAAGAAATGTGGACCATTTGAAAAATTAAAATTGGGTCAAATTGGACCGGTCATGACTCAACCCATTTTAAGCCCATTCTATTTCAACCCAAGTAATTTTTGGACTGATTTCAGGCCAGACTCATTTATTAACTTAGTCAGTGTTTTCAAAAACGTTTTTTGGGCGAGTCTCGAGGCGAGTTTCGGGGTGGGGCGTACCAAAAAGGTACCGGGGCGTAAATTAAAGACGTAGATTCATAAGGCGTAAGTTCTAAAATTTGAGGCGTAAGCCTCAAGCATAAAAACGTAAGTCATGGGCGTAAAAAGCGTAGGCCCAGGCGTTTTTAATTTTTTTAAACATTTTTTGCTTTAAATCATATTTTTTATTATATATTGGTGTAATGATATTTCTCAAATAGTAATTATAATACTTTTTTTTCTTCATTATTAATTATTACTCCCTCCGTTTCATAAAGAATGACCTGGTTTGACTTGGCACGGAGTTAAAGTAAATAAAGAAGACTTTTGAATCTTGTGGTCCTAAATTAAAGTTATGTCAAATGTACAAAATTGCTCTTAATCTTGTGGTCTTAAACATGTCACGTGGAAAGCAAAAAGTAAAATGTTACCCAAAAAGGAAAGAGGTCATTCTTTTTGAAACTGACTAAAAAGGAAAGGAGGTCATTCTTTGTGAAACGGAGGGAGTAATACTTATCTTAAATAAATATAATTTCTATATATTATAGGTTATTTATAAAAAATTATTTGTAAAATCATCCAAAGGTTTACTTTTGCTTATTTTATTAGTAATAAAACTATAAAATTGAATATACATGAGATTACGTTCAGTAGATCCATGGGACTTACGCCCCGTGTCTCGAGGCTTACACATCACCCCGTACTGTAAACGCCTCGCCTCACTCCCCGACCTTTTAAAAGACTGAACTCAGTCAATTTTAACTTGTTCAATTTCATTTCAATTCGCTCATTTGACCCCCTATTGCTACCAATATGAGTAGAAATCATCTCCACCCTCAATTCTTTAGTGCTAGGACACTCGGGGCGGATCTACATGATAACATGTGGGTTCATGCCAAACTTACAGTTTTTATTCACACATTATTATAAATATTAATTTGATAGTTAATTTAATTATTAAATTTTAAATTCTGACTCCATCGCTGAAACCCCCTTTACCGCATAGGTGTGCCTAGTACTATTGGCCAGATTATCATCAATGCTATATACTAGTTGACACCTAGATCAAATCCAAGTAGTTGCAGGAAAAGAATGGAGACAATCTTTTGAGAATGAATATTTTAGTTTGATGTCTTCTTCATGCAATTACGGCCTAGCGCTTTCGCCATCTTCTTTATAACTTTGTTGACAATAAACCACATGGCTCCATATGGTAGTTACCTTAGCTTCTCCATCATCAATAATACTTTCTTTTTTCTAGCCTGAGTCATATTAGATCGTGCGTGAACTTGTGTTATGTCTTATAAAACTCTCACTTTCCTCTCTTATTCCAATGTGATTCACCAAATTAATGGATCGTGTACACCCCTTTTTCATAAACTTGTCAACCTAGAAGCCTCTTAATTAGTCCTTAAGTGTGAGTTGCACGCCCTCGTGAGCATCACATACAACCCCTTAGGGACTCAGAGTCCTCACTAAAGTTTCTCTAGGCTACTCCATGATCGAGTTCAAATGTGTGTATCATGAGAACTTATGTTACTCCTTATAAAACTCTTCATTTTCCTCTTCGATCTACTAACTTCAACTAGAGGCGGAGCTACTGTAGAGTTTGGGCGTTTGAACTTTAATTTTTTTTAAAAATAAATAAATAAATTTCAAACCCACAAACTTTAAATTCTGACTCCGTCTCTTGAATTAATTTTCAAAGTGTGGTTCCCCTAACATATCATGTTCACCCCTTCTTCAGAAGCCTGACGGGCGTCAAATGTGTCATGTCATCTCCCTGCTCGTCATGCGCCAAATTTGTTGGTTACACTAGCTAGCCTAAAAGCATTATTAATAACATGCTACTCATGTACATTTTCGACAAAATCATTAAGAGTATTTCTACCCCTTTGTATATAATTCCTTTTTGCTGAATACCCAACATGATTTTTTGTTATTGCACATCAAACACAAGTATCTCCTATACCAGAATTTTAGCCTAAAGGATTGTTTGGGTGAAAGTGAGAGAAGAGAACTAAGACAACCCCATCTTAGTTGTTGGATGGGTACAAAATTGAATGTTGGTACCCAACACATTTGGGCTACATGTGGTTTTGTCATTCCCTTTTAGTCCTCCAAATTATTAAAAACTCATATTCCACATTAATCCATATACTAATATAATTCAACTTAAAAATATCAAAGCTCACCTGCTTCAACAGTTTTTTGGATTCCTCAACTGATTGAACACGTGATTCCTGTCGAGAAACTAAGGAATTGTGTTTTATAAATAGGACAATTGAAACTCTTAAACTTTTTAGTTTAATGTCTCAACATGGTACGTGTCAACGCTTATCTTTTGTACTTGTTCTGTCTAATATGGTTATTGTTTGTGACAGTCCTTTTTATTCAACAACTAGAACCAATATTTAGCTAGAAACATAATGGGATTGTCCTGTTTATATATGTTTTTCGAAACACAAAAATTCAGGGACAAATTTATATAGTTAGATGGACTTGATAACAGTGGTGATTAGATCAACTTGGATGCACTTTGACTATTCCACTAAATAGTTACTACCTGTCACGTATATATATATTGTATAGTACAGAATTGCAAAGTCTTAAGCCTCTAAAGATCAAAAGTTTGCTAGTAGGAAAAAAGAAGAGAAAGCATCGTTTGGGGACATCAATTAAAAGTTCAGAGGTGTATCTCAGTTTGAAGTAAGATTCTGTTTAGGTAGGAAGAAGTCTTTTCACATTGGTGCATGACAACTATTGGATTTGGATTTACTTACTCGTACGTAGTGGTGGAGTCAAGTTTTTCATTAGTAAATATGCATAATAACAAATTAGTACCTATCTACACCGTGTAATTTGACAAATGGCATTTAAAGGTGGCTCCGCCACTGCTCGTCATAAGTAAGGCAAACCTGTCTAGAAAAAGTAGCTTTAGTTGCATTAGATGATCAAATTGGATGTACCAACTATAGTATCAGGTGAACACACAAGAAAAGGAAAACATAAACAACCAAGATACCTTTTTTCTTTAGACAAGGGTGGCCTCAGGTGACAATTTTTTAAAAAAAATATTCTCTAAACTGGGCCTTTGTTGCCTCTCACTGAAATGCTTCTTTACTTTCTTGTATTGAGGCTGTTGTGTCTTTTCTTGGCAAAAAAAGATAAGTCATGATATAAAGCTTTGTTTGATTACAAGATAATTAGTAGTAGGTGCATAGCAGTTAAGTGGAAGACAAATTAGCTAAAATAATAAAACTAATATATTCTCAAGAGAGACAAGAAAAATACAAATTCATTACTAAAGATATTACAAAGTACAAACTCCTAAAATTCAAACTGAATTTATTTCAACACTCTTATTTAACAAGAAATTACTGATTAATTAGGGGGTAATCATCTCGATTAACCACGCTGGTGATGTTTTGTATTCTCACCAGTCTTGTATACAGTTTCAACCACACTTACT